AATACAGAAAGGACACCCAAAGTCATGAGCCTTAGGTGTCAGTCAGCTGTTCCTGGGCTCTTTGGACCTAGATGTTGACATATCCCTGTGACATCTTTTTCAGCAGTTCTATGGTGACTATTTAAGTCCAGTGGAACTGACCCAAAATTCAAAACCAACAGGAATGTACTATGAAGATGGTAAAGGCAACACTCACCTAGAAGAACTTATGAACTGAAACTAAAACTTTCAGAGGCTGTTTTCATTTGAAAAAGGGGTGATCGAGTGGATAAGTAAGGATCCAATTGGAATATATTAATAGTTGTGGATAGAGGTATTTCTTATTCAATCCACATTCTTTGTAACTATACAGAGAACAATGTTTCTTCTACCCCACCCTAGTGCAGAGGATAATTTTAGGAAATTTTAAAACTTTAAAGAAATAGGATTTGGAAGGAGTGAAAGACCACTTTTGGCATCTTTCTCCAAGGCTAGGAATGGAAGAAGAAAAGTCTGACATATACTTTTAGAAATGAAATAACAGGATATCTTAGAAGAGAGCTAATAGATATCTGTCTTGATTAATTGTTCTTCTGATATGAAAGGGTAGCAGGGAACAATCTTAATTTTTTGTAGAGCCTAATACTGTTTTACCTTTTCTTTAAAAAAATTACTTTTCTACATCTTACTACATAGAGATTTAAAAAAAGCCTGAAAAAATGCTTGTAAAGATAATAAAGAAGCCAATAATATGAAAAAGCACAATAGAGCTGTAATAATTATTGGTAAATGCTTCAAATAGCTGCAGCAGTTGATTGGGTTGTGAATGATACATGTGAAAATTATTTTTCTATGATCGTAGGCAGATGCAAAAGTTAAATGATTATACTATGTATATATATTGATATAGAATTGCTATATATATTGTGTACTGTATGTTCTAGCTTTCAGAAATACTGTATTGTAGTGTACTGTACTTAACTAAGCAGACCTAAATAGCAACTTGTCATTTTCCACAAAGTCACTAGTACTGTTAACAAAAACCAAAAAGTCTATTTTCTCCAGTAAAAGAAATACATACTGTTACAGTCACAGACATTTTGACTATAGAGAGACAATGTACATTTAACCAAAGGAAAACCCCAAACCAAAATAAAAATCTCACCCAAAAATCAACCAGCCAAAACTGTTGCATTATTGTCTTATTCAAAAGGGGAAGGAATATGCCACCAATCTAAGAAGAATATTTACTCACATTTTTATGACGGAAAATGAAAGAAAAAAGGTATCCCACAAAATCTTTAATCACCCTTTCTGGAACAAGGAAAATCCCCTAGTCAGGCAGAAGACTTAAAAGAATAAAATGCTGCTTTCAGGGCTAGAATGATACCAAAATAAGCAGCTGTAGTTAAACATATTTATCCCACTAACTAAATGGGTGCAAAATGAGTTCTAGAAATCCTGCAGCTCTCATGGATTACATACTGAATAATCTTACTGACCAATTTCTTCTCCTCCTGAATATCTACTAATCTTCTAGACACACTAACCATGATCCTGAAGAGATTTTGGCAAAGACCAAGGGAGAGAATGTTACTTGTTATTTGTTAGTGACTGCACATTTGGAATGGATTACTCAATCAATATGCTTCAGAGTACCTGAGGTGGGGAAAGAGCTGTTTGACATGGTGCTTTGGAAACTAGAGATTGCAGACCTGGAATATTTTAGAGCCTATCAATATATTGTGCTGCTAACTATTTAAAGGCTTGATAATTTTCTACTGTTCTTTTTAAGGGAGCAAACAGGCAGGTTATTTTGCTTGGATTTTATTCCTTTGTTAGGTAAACATGTTGAAATTCAATGGAAATGAGTGTCTGAACTCAACAGTATTGTTCCAGGGCTGTTATCCCCCGTGGATGCCTCTCTCTGCTAGTGAAGGCTGCTGAGATGGGCTGTTTTACTTATTTTGTGGCTGAAAGACCACATAAGGCTCTGGGAGGCATACCTCATCCTTCCCTTCAGAATGGATACTCACAAAAATATCCTGGACTAAATCTGGGTGTCACATTTTCAATGAGGGCAAACATCCAACTAAGAGCATCTGGCTAACAGAATGCTTTTCATGAATATATGTGTGCATCTATAGTGTATGGGTAGTATACCTGCTGTTCATTACAGTCATGTGCCAATGCTCCACAGTTATCACTGTAATCCTTGTTTCATCTAAAGCCTTCCCTGCATCAAAACCATGCATGTCCACACATTCAATTAGCAGCCTGTCTGTAAAGCCAGGAGGAGGTAACTGGCTCTCCCTGCACACGCATACATCCACATGCACACTCAGACATACAACTGCACACACACAAACACACACACAGAGTTTGTGTGTGTGATTTTACTCAAAGATCCCTTAGGTACCAACAGCCTATGCGACAAGTGAAAGTAAAGGACTAAATGGGAAAAATTAAAAGAAAGTTGGGCAGTCGGGTGAATGTAATCCTGTTTATTGAATGCGATTATACTCTCTAATCAAGTGTATATTCAACATGAAGGCTGAACTTCTAGGGGGCTTTGTGTGGTTTAATGAAGAATATGGCAATATCCAGGTGGCAAAAAGAGAAGAAGAAAAGTGAAATAGAAAAGTTTCCTATTTAACATATAGATCTCAGAAAGGTATCTGTCAATTTTGTAGGAAAAAGATCTCAGAAAGATACCTGCCTGTTTTGTAGGAATAGGACAGTGCAGAATCAGATAGTTGAGCACAACAAGTACCTAACTGAGCTCTGCACATTCCTCCACGGCCACTGTGAACTTGGCAAAAAAATCACCAACAAGTCAACAGTAGGAAGACTGAACACTGTAGAAGTCTGCAGTTCTGTATAGAAAATACCTAACGCAAGAAATGCTTTGTTACACTGGTACCAGATTTTCCAGCAGGAAAGGCTCCACTGGGGAACTCATAAAAGCACATGGGGCACTGTAATACCTAAGCCCAATGTGACAGAGAGAATTTATGAGGGATGCTTGGAGTGTGGCTGCATGGCTGTGAAGGAAATATCACAGCTCAAAGAGGGCTCAAGTTCTAATAAAATTTGCATAAGGATTGAAAACAAGAATGCCCCTTTGGGCTGAACTGGGTAGGAGTTCTCACATGTGATGGGATATTGGTAATTCTTTTGTTTGAGTAATGGTACTGCTGCAGCAAAAGGATATTTTTAGAATATACTTTTCCTAAAAGGAATAATAGATGAACTATCCAAAGGGGCTATATTTATTTGGAGTGACATGCATGCAATCCCAAAAGTGCCAGTACAGGTTGCACTGATAGAAATTCAGAACAGAATTTGTCCCTTGAAAGTAGCTTTTCATTGGATTTTCTCTCATACATTTCACTGGATTGGAGAATCTGGAATCAAATCACATAGCCATGCCCCCACATTATTAATTTGATTTAGGAAGAGCATTTACCCTCCAGTGTTTTACAGGGAGCTGATGCCAACCAATCAAAAGTAGATCACTTTGGAAGAGGAACAAACTTGGAGCTGTATCTGAAGGTAAGGAACAGCAGAAAAGCACCATCCAATATAAAGAGACCACTATGTCTCAATAATATTCCTGCTTCCCTACCTTTTCGAAGAGGAAAACGTGACATATTTTGTAAGAAGGGAACACTTTAGATGAAACTTTGCTACAGATACCAAACATAAGCATTCTTCATACTGCTTAGATGTATTTCTGTTTTAAAGCAATTGTCTATGAGGCTGTAGTTTATTCAAGGCTGTAGCGTATTTACTTCTGTTGTAGGTTAAGAAGGAAGAGAATTTTTTTGGGAGGTTGTGGTCAAACCAGTCAGTGCTTGGATTTGAATATTGGCACCTGGTTTGGCCACTGAAGGTATGAACCGCCTCTGAGAGCACAGGGGGTTAACTTACTTATTGTAAGATAAGGAAGTATCTTAATGTTCTTTGCTTTTTGAAAAATAGTTGAGGACAGAACTGTAAATTGGGGTGTTAAAATACAGTTAACAAAGAATTTAGAAGGCTCCACAGAGGGATCTGGGAACAAGGGGGTTGAAGGGGAACCTCATCACTCTCTAAAACTACCTGAAAGGTGATTGTAGCCAGGTGGGGATCAGTCTGTTCTCCCAGGTAACAAGTGACTGGATGAGAGGATATGGCCAGAAGTTGTACAAGGGGAGGGTTAGATTAGATATTAGGAAAAATGTCTTGACTAAAAGGCAGGCAAAATTGGAACAGGCTGCCCAAGGAAGTGGTGGAATCACTGCCCTGGAAGTATTCAAAATACATGTGGATGTGGCACCTGGGGACATGCTTGAGTGGTGGGTTAGCAGAGCTGGGTTAACGATTGAACTCGATGATCTCAAAGCCCTTTTCCAACATTAATGATTCTATGGTTCTATGATTGGTTTGCTTACCTCAGTGCTACTCTCCTTTTCCTATGGGAAACATGAAGAGTTTCTTTGGGCATATACGGCTGTGCACAAAAATCTCAGTTCACTGGCTTTGGGGAAAGTCAGTGAAGATCACGTTATGTCTGGTAGTGGAAACTATGATCAAATGTAACATGAAGGATTGTGTTAGAGCATCAGAGTTCTGTTTATCTTGACCTGGCCTCTTTTATTTTAAAAGCTATTAATGAACAATTCTAGGGAAAATTGGCATTTAAAAACCATGACTTTTCTCCTGATATGACTTTGCTAGAATGATGTGTAGAATATATTTGACTCCTTTTATTTTAAAATAAACCTAGAAACTCTGTAGTCGAGTTTAGTTGCAGCATGAATAGCGAATTAAAGCACATTATGGGTTCAATTTACTTTTCAATCTTATTCACAGTAGATCAGTAATCTCTGCTTCTCCTATCTTGGACTCTCTCTTAATGCCTGTGAGTCAAACGCTACTGCAGAGGCTAAAATACCAAAAAAAAAAATCAGCAACACTGCTAAATATATAATTAAAAAATATTAATATTTAACCTTGCATCTTTTTTCACCAGAAAGATAATTTTAAAATTAAATTTATCTAACAGTATCCTGTTGGATATACAGTTAGATATCCTTTCCAACTCAGAGAGGATAATTGTCCAGATACTGGCACACCTACACAGGGATGTAATTCTTTTGTTCACCAAAATTTCTCATTTGTGTAACTCTGCTCTTTCCACCTTAGGTGCTCCTGATCTAGAGCAGAGGGGGAGCACAAATAGCAATGAATGCATAATATTTTCTCTATTCTTAGAGGCACTAATATAATTGATTAGTTATCAGCACTGGGAATAATTAGATGGATATACACTAATACACATCTTGCTTCTCATTTACATATGTTCTTAGAAAAACAAAACAATGATTCCCCCTTGCCTTATAGCAATAGGTCTAAGAGACTTAAGTGTTCCTCTTTTTCAAACAGGTTGTGTCCCTTGTGGACCAAATTTCTGTGTTTTATGCTAGAGAAGGCATAACCCACATTTTTGTTTTGTCAGTTTGAAGGATATGCACACACCTAAAACTCTCTCTCTATTTCCCAGCTTAGTGATCTGTGAAAATATGGGGGCTCCTTTGCTCTGGCTGAAATGAACTGGATCACTGAGTAGCTTTAAAGGAAACTAGCTGAGAGCTTATTACTTCTTGCATGACAAATAAGGTGAACAGCAGCAAGAACACTGACTTGGCATGGCCAGAACCAGCCTCTGTGGACAGGCATCCAGCATCAGGCCACCTCCATACATTTGCCTGTCTTACTGGTCATGCTGCAGACACTTGGCATTTTCAGCACCTGCCCCTCTGCAAGGCCTCTCTACCTGCATTTGGTTTCTGTCAGCAGGACTGTCAAATTCTGGGAAAGGTGTTCATTGTATTTACAAACTCGAGATTCCAGACTTAATGTGTTATATACAGTTTCCCTCATAAGCTTTTTTTCAGCAGAATTCTGATTGTTTAGTGGTCAGATGAAGACAAACCTTCTGGGAGAAGAGAAGGCTGAGGTTCTCTCAGGGCCAAGTTCTCATCACTTTATACCTCCTTCACGAATTTTCACAGCCAGTATGAGAAGAAATCAGGGAATGTGAAAAGTAGCTTTTTTGCTTCAGTCTGTTCAGATACTGCTTCAATTAGGCTACCTGCTGACTCCTTACTATCACATTTATTCCAATGGCTCAGAGGACCTGGATGCTGAATTAAACGGGTTGAATATCAAGGCCTAGTTCTTCTTGTCAGAACAACCACTAGGTCCTGATTTGATATTATCATAGAATTATAGAATGGTTTAGGTTTTAAGTGTCTTTAAAGATCATCTGGTTCCAACGCCCCCGCCACGTACAGGGGACCTTCCACTAGACCATGTTTCTCAGAGCCCCATCCAGCCTGATCTTGAACACCTACAGCCCACACCTTCTCTGGGCAACCTGTTTCAGTATCTCACCACCCTTATCATAAAGAATTTCTTCCTAATATCTAATCTAAACCTACACTCCATCAACTTAAGGCCATTCCTCCCAGTCCTATCACTACATACCCTTGTGAAAAGTCCCTCTCCAGCCTTCTTGTCAGGATCTGGACAGTCTACCTGGACCCTTCTCTTTTCCTATTTTTTCCTTTTGAACGGCAAGTCATTTTCAGCAGTGAAAACTGGAGGATTTCCTTAGCATAGGACTGTCAAGAAGGTCACAGATCTATGACATACTGATTATGTGTGAAATGGTTTGGGTGCTTCTGATTTTGGACTGGACTAAAAACCCCTGCAAAGAGTATGTCTTGTACCTTCTCCCTATGGGACTTGTTTTCACTACTAAGGGAGACAGGAGATGTTGGGATAATACTCACTAAAGTCAAGAGACTTGTCACTCACCATGCCAGTGATCCAGCATTAATCAAGTAGGTCAAGGTCAACTGAACCCAGTCAGTAGGGTTGACAAGAAGTGGGGTGCTGATGGTATGTGGATTATTACTCAACTCTCCTTTGGACGAAAAAGAAATCGAAAGAAGAAAAACAGACTCCACTTGGGCTCTTTGATCTTAGAGCAAAGGGAAGTCTCATTCACTTAAAAAGTCAATTAAATGCCATTTTCCCCTGCTGCCTTACTGGGAACTTGAGCTGTTTTTGAAGCTAACAGCATTCAAAAACAGCAGCTGTTTTTGAAGGGCCAGAAGTGGGTGTAGTAGAAGCATGATGGGTGTTGAGAAAGTATCCTCAGAGCAGTTCCTGCGAAACACCTATAGCCAGTCCTGCATTTCCAATTCACTTCACCAGCCTCAGCAGCAGTAAGAGAAGGCACTTCTCATTCACTCTAAGGCTTCCTTTATTGCACTTATGCCTTGCAGAGAGGCCTTGTAAGCTTGAATTTATGTTCTATTTAATGGCCTTTTCCATTACCAAAGCAATATAAAGAGAGCTTTAGCAAAAGTGAGAATCAAGCTCAAGGAATGCAGGACATTGCATGCTTCAACAAAAGGATGTGTGCTACAGTCTGCATTTTCTCATCTGTATCACTTCATCGGGTGTTTTGAAGGAAGCCTTTCAAGCATACTGAGATAGATTCGCTTAAACATTGTCAGCAGCAGTTTCCAGATCACGGTGACTGCTATTCTTTTTGCAAAGGCATATTGTAGCAATATATGAAGCTTGAATCTACCTGTAACATTCAGATATTATAGTTGTTTCCAAGTAGCAAATAAGTATTGAAAAGATGGGAGGAAGAACTGCCAAAGAGAATTTAACACTTTAAAAGATAAAGGGGATAATGTTTGAGCTTCTAAATTCAGAATGACCTGACAAGCACTTTAAGCTACATTTGCAGTCATGCTGCAAGTTACCCCACGTTTTACAAGATCAAGTCTGGAAGTCCAACAAAATCAGTTTACATTACAGGCAGTCATTTGTGAAGACCTAGGCCTAAATTCTTTGATAAGGGTTTTAGAATTATGCCTTTGCTTTACTTTAAGAACTATGTTTTTGTTTTTTAATTGGCATCATTCATTCATTCATTCATTCATTCATTCAAAACTTATTTTTAATTCACTTCAAATTTATTAGACCTTATAAAAATTGGCGTTTCAAAGATAATGCTTTGATTTAGGGAAGGATGAAAACTGAAGGATTAAAATTTGGATAGTATTTGGATTTTGGTGGATGTAGATCCTGATTCTTATTTAATGCTTACTGGCATATCTCTCTGGTATCAAAAGTATATTCCAGAATATGCTACATCTTGACTACAGTTCACCAGGTTTACAATGGCAAATTAAACAGCTTTTCCCCAGACCTCAGATGACAAATGAGCAGCTACATATTTGTAAGCTGGGTAAAATTCTTCACTAGTTCCTCATATGGGAGAATATTCTTTGATACCAAAGATCTCAGAAAAAACGCTCCTTTACCCAAAGAAAAACCTTCAATCCTTTTGTCTAGGTTCACCTTCCTCATTTTCTTCTGCATTCCAGTCTCCAGAACCTTTATTTTCTGTATAGAATTAGTGTGTCTAAATGGCAGATACCAGTTCTCCCTCCCTGTGTCTTGGGCTTTGTCTTTTCACATCTTGATTTACATGCCAGCATTGCTGTTACCAATGTGATTATTAGAACAATATTTGTTAACGAACTTGTGCTCCTTCTCCAACCCCCTGAACTACCCAAACAAGTTGGTAACAAAGAAAGATGTTACCATATAAAAGACTCAATTGCTCTGGCACTCACCTCAAGGTCTTTCTATGCTGCATATTGCAGCCAAGAATCTGGGCTTCAGCATTTAGGATCTGCTGAACAGCACCTTGCAGGGTACAGAAAGATTCTGAGACTGAACCACCTGTCAGGTTTTTTCCCCCAATAAATGGTAATGGAACAGGCACAGAACATATGGATGAAGTTACCTGTACTGAATCACAGGTATCTGATAGAGAAGCCGCATGTGTAAAGAACATGCAAAATTGTATATGGAGATCTACCAAGTCAATACTCAGAAAGCTGTCCAGCATAAAAGAATGTCTCATGTGAAATGCTCAGTGTTCACAAGCAAAAAGTTTTGTAAACTTAAGAAAGCTTAATTTAAATATAGACATAAGTAAAAGCTAAACTTGCAATTTTTTCTTTTTTCCTTTTTGCATATTTTTGTTAGGTGCTTCTTCTCTGCCTAAAATATGAAGTCCAGAGTGCAGTTGGTCTATGTCCTCACATGGATATCAAGCAAGACAAAGATAGTGTCAAACACTGATCCAACTGAACTAAGGACCCACGTACTTTGGGAGTTGGCTTTGGGGAAAAAATTCTTACACAGATACACAGAAGACAAGTAGGGAGAACACCAGTCCAAACACAATAAAACAAAATACAAAACACCAACATATATATGCAGATCAGGAATCAATCTTTCACACGGATCCTACATTCCTTTCATAGCTTTGTCTATGCAGAGAATGCGGGATGTGGCCCTTCACTCAGACGTTTTGCAAATGAAGGGAGGATTATTTGCAATGGTAACATTTTAAGTTGTTTTGGCATCAGCACAAATTATTGGGGGCAGGATCAGATTCCCACACAAATATGGAAGCTCTCTAGCGAGCAAGGCAGGGATGAGAGAACAATACAGCAGATAAATTCTTGTCCAGTGACCAAAAAGAAGGGAAATCCTAGTTATTACACACTTCAAAACTTTCATTACTTTTTCAAATAAAGACTACAGTTTATATCATCCCCAAAAACAAGGGAACATTGCTAGAAAAATCTCTTTCTCAAAAGGAAATGTCCTTCAGCAGAAATAAATTCTGAGATGGAACCAAAAAAGAAACAACAGAAGCTTGGTAAGAGCCAAAAAGAGAACCATGTAATTCAAAAAAACAAAGTAGCAGTTCAAATGATACTGCAGGATGCACAAACACTAGTAGATAATCTCACAGATGACTTCACAGAGCCCCTCATCGACCCAGGTAATTCTTGATTCCATTAGAAAACAGAGAGAATAATACTAGAAAAGAAAATTAAGAAAACATCCTTCCTCTTTTTTAAAATAAAAAGCAAGATCATCTCCCCTCCCCCCCTCTATCTGGAAGCAGGTTAGCTAACCTTAACAGTCTCAATTTAAAATAAAATATATATTTTTATATATATTCATATATATAATAAAAGAGGAGATATTAGTGGCAGTGTATGCAAAACAAAAAAGAAAACAAAGAAAAATTACTTTTAACAATCTCACTTTTTTTGTTTTTTTACACAAATACTGTTGTAAATATATTAAAAAAATCAGCATTCTATCTGGTAAACGTCACTTTTGCCCCTCTATAAAATTTTGAATTAAAAAAGTCCCAACAACTCTTTTTTTTAATTATTATTCCCCTCCCACCCTCTATTTCTCTTTCTTCCACAAGAATAAATCCTGATGCAACTTTTTTTTTTTTTTTTTGCAAAGATTGTGGGAACTAACCCTTCTCTTGTACCTAGATCCATAGGTTGCAACCTCTGATATCTTTGATTTTCCTCTGTGTTTCTCTTTGCCTTCTGTGAAAGTCCCTCTTGATTGTGCTGAGGCCCTGTGCTCAGCGAAGACACTGAATAAATTACAAAAAAGCCACCGTTGCTCGTTGTCTGAATCTTCTTGGTTTCTGCTATAAGGTGGTGGTGGTGGTACGAGAAAAGCAGCGGGGAGGGTGCGCCGGACAGTGAGGGATGGAGCAGAATCCAGGTGAGGAACCTCTGATTCTTTTTCCTCACCCTGCAGGGACTCCACACTATCCAAGCCACACTGCCTCGCATTCCCCTCAGCCCTTTTTGTGTGTTTGTGGATGCGTGTGTGTGTGAGAAAGCAGACGTGGTGGAAACCAGCAGGGCCTTGTTTCCTCTGGTTGCTGCTCAACCAGAAGCAAAATATTCCACAGTTCTAACTGGATACTGTGAAGTCCAAAAGCGGTCAGCAATGTGAATCATGTCCATTGAAACACTGCAAGCGGTGTACTTATAACGACAGTAGGCCTTGTAGATTTGTAATATATTTTGTTTTGTTTCTTTATTTGTAGTGCTCTTCACAAGTGAGAAAAAAGATTTTTTTTTTTTTTTTTCTGTTTTTTAAAATTTTTTTTGTGGTTTTTTTTTTTTTTTTTGTTGTTTGCTTTTTGTAGTAAAGAAGGGTTGTATTTAGAGGCCAGTAGCTAGAGATCCAACCAGTGGAGCTCATGAAGCACTACCTGGCCTTAAGGCCACCATCCGAGGGAGGTTGGGAAAATTATTATTCACCCAGCCTCCGGAAATGTAATGTACCAGCAGGCAAAAAACAGTTTTCCATGTAGTACAAAAAACAACAAAACGAAATGAACCCAAAAAAAGGAGGAAAATAAAGGTAAAAATGAAACAAAAATAATTTCTTAAATTCTAGTGCCATAGCTTTTTTTTTTGTTGTTTCTATTTTTGTTGTTCATAACAAAGAGAGAGAGAGAGATTCTACTTATCCGTCTGACACATGCATCCTCATGTGGTCGTTGAAATGCTCGATTTGGTCAAACTTAGCTGGACAGACAGAGCAGACGTACGTGGTCCCCTCCGTGCAGGCCACCACGCCGGCAGGGACAGCCCTCGCGCCGGTGCCAGTGGCTCCAGGCGTGCCGTTGGTGGCACTGTGCAGAGCCACATGCCTCTCCAGCAGGGTCTTGTGGGAGAACTTCTTCTTGCAGATGTAGCACTCGTAGGACTTCTCCCCGCGGTGGAGACGCATGTGCACATTAAGGGAGCTCTTCTGGGTGAAGCGCTTGTTGCAGATGCTGCACTGGTAGGCCCTCACGCCAGTGTGTGTCACCATGTGTTTGATTAGGTAATCCTTTAAAGAGAAGGAGCGCCAACAGATGCTGCATTGGTGCGGTTTCTCACCTGCCCATTGCCAATGAGAGAGAGACAGAGAGACAAACAGACAAAAAAAAAAAAAAATCATAAAATGAAACCAGTTCAGTAGAACTCTTTGCAATAAACTAATGGTAAGTCTCATGGGGGTCTTTGGAGAGGTGCTCTGGTTAGCAAAGAGTCAGTCTGTTAATCAGTGTTTTGACACACAACATTTTTTGCAACCAGAACTTTCAAAATGCTTTACAAAGGGGGCTCTAGAAATTCCCTATGTAAATACAGTAAAAAGGAGCTCAGGTGATTTCTTCAAGTTCCCACAGTAGGTAGACACTGACAAAGACAGGACTAGAGTTAAAAGGTCCTGGCATCTGCACCCAGTTTCAATGGCACAGCCTCTCCTGTCTGTGCTCCTGTCTTGCTCCTCATGCTCATTTCTACACAGGAAAGTCTCAGCCATGCTACTTCACCTTCCAGTGCTTCTATTTCCTCACCGGCATGCGATAAAACCAGGGACAAATCAGTGATTACCAGACAGCTGACCTGGGCCAGACTCATTTCAGTCAAATTGCTTTCAATTTCTCAGGAGAGAAGAGACAGAGATTGTCAGAGGAATCCAACACTTTATAAGAGGTTTACATTTGTTGCTCCCTTTTCTGGTCAAATGTCATAGCTGAAGCATGTACAAGTAGTACTGGAAAAGGGAACCTCAGAACACAGAATTGCCTAGGCCAGCCAGCACCATGCAAAGGGCAACCTAACAGATAAAATCCCAGTGTAAGACATAGGAAACTTGAATGATTTGACTGTCAGTTAAATCAAACACCTTACGAGGTAAACGAGGGAGATAAAACATGTATGTAATCTTCCACATTGCCTTGTGTTCCCAGGACTGTTGTAAAACTTACTACGGAAATCCGTATAATTGAACTCTGATCATGTTCAGACAAACCAGTGACTACAAGGATAAACTGGGAAAAATAGTTAGCTGAGCACATGTACAGTTTTTTTCAGACTACTCTTAAATCCTCCTCATGCTCAGAGTTCTGAAAGATAAGGCATGGTCTCATGTTTCATGTTGTCAAGCAATGTTTTCATGATATGCTGCTGCACTGGTAATGTATCCAACAAGCAATGCTCCATCAAAAGCTACTTTTTAATTTGCTTTCTAAATCACTAATGGTATATTTCATGTGTGGAACTCATCATCCCCAAAGCTGTCAGGGATAGAGATGACACCACAGCTCTGTAAGAATCAAAATGATCCTGTTTCACTGATTGAGAAAATTATTTTCCTGTGGTTATTCTCCAATTTCCCCTCTTTTTTTTATTCTACACAGACATCCTGCTTCCTTCTTTTTACAGTCTGTTTGGCACTGTTGTAACTCCTGAAGAGTCAGTCTTCAGGGACCAAGACATGCCTGTGATAATATATAATTCACTCATTGTATAGTGAGATTACCATATGCTACTTATACTCAATTTTAAGAGGAGATAATTAAAATGGATGTGAAAGACCTACTTTATTTTATCTCCCCCAAGTCTGTTTCTCTTTATTTAATGGTTTGCATGTATAATGGTGACATCCACTTGCTGCTCTTCCTTGCACTTTTGAGGAGTTTGTCCCTACTTGGTGAAAGACACTCACTCAAATTCACTTGCTTTCCTGATGGCTTTGCCACACACATGACTGTGCTGTGTGTAAACAGGCCTATATGCATGACACGTGATGTGGAAAATGATAGTGTGTCAGTTCGAATAATGTCTGATTAACTTACAAGAGGCTGACTGTATTTATGGAGCTCATTTTTGCCTTGGGTAATGTATGTCCCAGAGTTCGTAGAAAGTTGGTCTCCTCCACTCTAGATCCTGTTAAGATTGTTCTAGAAAAACACAATTTTTGCCTGCTTATGTTTCTAAGATACACTGGGTTGTGGCTTTTTAATCTCAGCTTCAAAGCCTTCCTGGGATTTCTCCTCTCCAAAGAATTGCAAAACTTTAGTTTTTCTTTTTTTATGCAAATTTTTGTGCTTTCTAAGTGAGCACTGTAGATTCTTTATTCCCGTGATTCTTCATTTTCAAGTCAGAGAAAACTTTGCTCAGTGAATTAAATGTGTATGTTCTTCCTTTTGCTTCTTTATTTTGTATTTGGCTGGTATTAGACTGCAATATGGGATGATTATAATCATAGAATCAGAGCATATCCTGAGCTGGAAGGGGAAGAAGCAATGCCAGCACCTGGTCATGGTTCCCTTTTCCAGCCCCTGTGCTTCTGGTGATGTAGGCTCTGCAGCTCTTTGAACCCTAACCATAATGGATACTTGGTGCTGACATTGAGGTCATGGAATCATAGAATCCCGAGCTGGAAGGGACTCCCAAGGATCATCAAATTCCACCTCCTGGTCCTGCACAGCACCACGAGCCTGAGACCATTGTCCAAGAGCTTCTCAAACTCTGCCAGGTTTGGTGCTGTGACCACTTCCTTGGGGAACTTGTTCTAGTGCCCACCAACCCCAACTGAAGGGTGAAGAACCTTTTCCTAATATCTAATCTAAACCTACCCTGAGACAGGTGCATGCCGTTCCCTTGTGTCTTATCACTGGACAAGAGAGAAGAGGTCAATTCCTGCCCCTGCACTTCCCCTCATGAGGAAGCTGTAGGTCACAATGAGGTTTCCCCTCAATCTCCTCCAGGCTGAAGCCAAGTGACCTCAGCCACTCCTCAAATGACTTGCCCTCATCCCATCGCTGTCCTATCACCAGATTAGAAAGGTGTGGAGGCAGCAGTGTTGGTGCTCTGCTGTGATCCCCTTGGCATGTCTTTTGCAGCCTTTAATCCAGTATTAATCACAGCGTGATACGTGGGAAAAGCAATGGTGCCTTATAAAGTGCAGACAGTGCATACACTCTAGCACTGTATTTCCACAATACTGGGGGATATATTGAAGTGAGTCTACATGGAACATAGAAAAATAGCAATCTCTAATATGTTTGCACCCATGTGAAACAAGAAAAGGAGGTCGGTTTCTGTTGCACAGAAAGCTAATCAGACTGTAGTTTTTGGAAGCATAAAAACATACAGAGATATAGAGGCCTTTAAGTTACTGAATTCAGGTTTATGATTAGACTCTTCCATGACTTCTCTTGTGAGCCCCCCAAACAGAAAGATTAATTCAAACATCTGCATCTCCCAAACTTCTCATTTCTTCTGTGGATCTTTCCAGGACCGCTTTGCCTGGCTTCTTTCAACAGGCCTAAGGAAAAGTCACCCTGACAGTGGGAAGAGGGATCTCCCCTCTATTTTTGTAATGATCCTGTCCAGCACTGAACAAGGTAGAACTTTATCTGAGGCTGCACACATAATGATTATTTTCAGGAGGGTTTTTTGGAAGCGTATCTCTCTGTGGGTTAAGGTGAAATTATTCTCCCAGGAGACAGTTAGCTCCTAAATGAATTTTGAAATTATTTATCTACCCAAATCTTTCCTTGCCACCACAGTTCATTTTTTAGGGCATTCTCAGACCCACACAAGTAAAATATTAATTCATGATTCAAGATGCCTATCAATTTCCTCGGTTGGTATTACTTGTAGTAGCTAAGAATGTTTTAGATCAGGTCTTCCAGTATTATTCTTTATTTGACTCCAAAACCGAAATGCAGTTGTAGGGGAAATAAAGTGCCTAATCTCAGTGAAGTTATTTGTAAACCAGTCTTTTCAGCTTTTAGAACAATAATGCAAGCAGATATAGTTGACTGTGTTCTGAATACCAGTACTATCTATGTAGCATTTTAGCTCCTCATCCACAGCAGAGAGATGGAGAACATAAACAGACACAAAGGTAATCTTGGGATTCAGGACTCTTGATCCTTGCAATTATACATTTTGTACCAGTCCTGAAAAGTTGATCTTTCTGTATATGTACATGTCTGCTGTAGATGTCTAGAGGAGTTTTTCATTTAAGTGATAAATACAGGTAAGTTGAACTTAAAAGTTTACATATACACATGGAATTGAAATTATTGCATCCAACAGAGAGGCACGTTGGGCAATGTTTCCAGGTTCTCCTCCATGTATCACAAACCCAGCATGTATTTTAAGATCTGATGTTAACAAAGCCACTGCTTGGAGAAAGAAATATTTACTCTTTCTCTAAACTAGAATGTCTCTCCAACAGCAGGAAGAGCCAAGGTCTAAAGCAGGCAAAGCAGTCCTGAACCCATGACAACTCTTCCATGTAAAATACATATCCTTGCTTTGAAGTCTCATAACTTGGCAAAGCTAGAAAAGGCAGTTTTGGCTCAGTGGCAAATATGGTTACCTGTGTTATCTCAACAGACCATAAACTATGCACTAAAGCAGCTGCAGTTTTAAACAGAAAGGTGCTGATGTCGTGTTCCATTGTGCTCCACATATATTCTTTAAATATTTTCTCATTGAACCTCATGTTTCTGTACTCACAGCTAGTGATGTCTCTGACTTACCAAGAGAAAAGGGATTACAGCAATTAGCCTCAGTGAAGTACAGAAAGAAAACCCCAGATTTACTTTCTTATAGTAGTATGTGAGATCTAGAAAATCTGTGGCAGTGTGTGTAACATCCAGGTCTGGACCTACTGCTGCAGCTCCACCAGTAATGAATTTGCCCTAACCTCACCATTACTTGAGCTTAATCCCCCCCATATCTGTAAAACCTACAGGAGGATGCCCTTTCTTAGTAGATACAATTTTTCTTATGACCTATTCGTTTCCTCTCTTCCACTTAATGTTGCCTGGTCAGCTTGCAGGGTACAATGAACGCTCACCATTTCCTTGGATGGATGCAAGACGCATTTTACTCCAAGAGAAATGAACTTGTTTCTGCACCATGCACAGTTAGGCCCCTATATGGGATCTGTATTTTTCTGCAGGGATTCAGCTTCAGTGCAGTAAGGCCAAGAAGTGTTCAGTGACACCAGCTCCCTGGATAAGCCCTCCCTCCTCCTTATCCTGGGGGCTGGCAGGCTGGCAAACAAAGTCTAAGTCCATGGTTGTAAAGGGCTTTCTGTGGCTCCACATGCAAGCCAAAGGGAAGCACTCTTACCTGTGTGTACAAACATGTGCTTGACGTAGTTCTGTTTGGCGGTGAAAGTCTTGTTACAGAGAGTGCACTCGTAAGGCTTTTTTTCGCCTTGCCCACCCGCTGTGCTGTGGCCCGCAGACGGGGCCAAGGGCTGTGGGGCTGGCAGCTGGGCAGTAAAGGTTGACAGGCCGGGCTGGGACACTGTCACAAACTGTGTCTGTTGGCCAGCTAAAGGCTGGGGCAGGCTGAAGAGAAAAGGCTTAGGGCCACTGCCAGCAGACTGCGTGGTGAAAAGGGCAGGCAGGTAGGTGTTGCCAGCTGTTCCAATGACCTGAGTGTTGCTGGTCAGAGTCAGTGGCATCCTTAGATTGCTGGTGAGGGTTTCTGTCTGGCGTAAGTAGATCTGTGTGGTTGGCAATGGCTGGGCAACAGATGTGTTGACAGAAGGCTGCAAAGCCCCCTTTTCGGTGCTGTTATTGACTGTGAGCACTTTGCTGTCCATTTCAACATCATTGCTTCTCTCTGGTGAGGAAGAGTTGGCATCTACATGTTGCTGCTGCTGCTGTGGCTGAGTGCCATCAGCAGGGACATCATTTTGATCTGCTTGAGTAGGTTCTTGCTGCCCATCCCGGCCCAGACCAGCCATAAACTGCTGCTCCATGGAGTCAGGCTCAGTGCCAATGGAGGAACTGACACCCGAGTCAAAACTCTCCCCTTTGGGCTCGCTCTCAGTGCCTTCTGCTTGGTCGGTGTCCTCAGTGCATTCCTCAGACTCATTGCGCTCAAGGATCTGCACCCTCTGTTGGCCATAGTAGTCATAGTCATCCTCCATCTCCTGTTTAATATGGATGTTGCCCATCAGGGTTTGAATTCGGACAGGACGGGGCTGCTTCCGGCAGTGTGTGGTCTCTGGAGTGGTGGAGAGGTACCGCTCCATCTGCTGCGACCGTTCATGGATCCGGGTAATCCAGCTGGGGTCTTCTATGTGATGGTCCCTGGGGAGTCCCAGGGCTGTCTCATGGTGGCTGACCACAGCTCCACTGTAAAAGGAGCGCTCCCCACTGCCATTTTGCATGGAACAGGCATAGAGGGCTGAATAGATCCTGTCCACACTGTGCTGTGAATGGCTCTGCAGGTAGCCAGACTCCGTGTCAGTGCTCTGCCCCGAGGTGCCTGATTCAGGTGTTCCCCTGGGTGTCTCTTGGCCAGAATCCTGAATCACTGGGTAGACGTCTCCCACGTTTTGTGAGACAATCCTTGTGCACTCATCAATCACAGTCTTGATCTGCAGGATGCTGGCGGCTGTGAGGATTTGGAGGGCCTCTGACTGGGAGACCCGCAGCACCCCGCTGTACATGAAGTCAATGAGCTTTTGCACAGACTGGACTGACACCACTGAGGGGATCTCGATGTCACTGTAGCCCAGCAGCAGCTTGTCCTGGAAGAAGGGGCTGCCAGCCGCCAGCACGCAGCGGTGGGCGCGCAGCATGCTCCCGTGGATGCGGACCGTCACGTCACAGAAGTGGCCACGGTTGCGCTGCTCGTTGAGGGTCTCGAGCACGGAATTGCTGAAGTTGTGAAGGTTGATGCTATGAATGCGCTCTGTCATCCCCTTGCAACTGATGTTACCTGGAGCAAAGCGAGTGACAAAAGCAAACAAAAAAAGAACAGATTGAGTCTTGTCCTCTGCAGAGTCACAGTGAGAGTGCTGGCAAAGGCAACTTCCCACTGCGTAAACAAAACTGACACACTGGAAAAACCACACACAGACGCATCAGTAAGAACACATCATTTTGTAGGGCTACAAGTAAACTTCCCTACTCAATTCCAGAAGCTCAAGTCCTGAATCTTTGGACAAAACTAAATGAAGACAGGTGTAGCTGGACCTGAATTCCAATCACACTCCTGAGACTTGGACTTCCTATCAGTTTATCTGGCTTTAAAAAGCTTAGAGCCAGCCAATTGCAAACACTGAGCACATGGATTAAAGCTGGATTTTAAACTCTGGATTGGATTTATGCCAGAAGAGATCAGAATCTGTAATGACCCCAAGTTGTTAATGCAAAGAGTATATATGGAAATAAGATTTCAATCTAGATTGGTATTTTAAGGAATTTAGATCCTGTGTTGCACAGCAGTTACTTGTATCAAAAAAACTAGCAGTCACTTTGTAAAATCCAAATCTGGTGCAAGATTTAGGCTGTAAACGTTCCTAAAATCCCACGCAGAGTTTTGTCTGGGGTTGTGGTTTAGAACATTTGCTACCCAATAGTGACAAACAATTTTCTGAAAGAACCCAAAGCAAGAAGTTAACATGAGCTGTCCCCTTCATTTTTAGCATATCCCAAGTTCTGACTCGCACCAGAACGCCATCAAGTAGAAACAAATGTTCTCCTGCTGTTATTTACTTGACAGAAACTGGAAAATTACAGACATTTACTCCAAAGAAGATTTTGTCTTAGTTTGGCTGAATAATCTAAATAGAGAACAGTTTAGAAAAGCATCTAACCAATTTGGATACAGAGCTAACATAATCTTCAAAATTTACAAGTGACTGAAAAGAAATTTCTCAATCTGCCAATCCACTGTTCCCTATCTTCATCTTGCCTGCTTTGGTTTCAGTGCTTTCCCATTTCCTTTCCTGTTCTTTACCATATTTCCATCTATTTGGATTTTGACAGGCAGAAACTATGGTATCACCTTTTAATTATAAAGAAACAATTGTCCCTTGAATGGTAAACGAATAAAACACTATTAATAATTCTTTTAAGCATGTGTAGTACATGCAGCACCTTGGTTTCTAGAAAATTAGACAAAGTAATGCTAAATCACCACTGGTATTACAGGCATTTTGTCTTGCATATTCCCACCAAAGATCTAACCACTCTTGCCACAATAACTTGGTAATGTGTGAGCATCCAAAAATAGAAGTTGTTAAATGTGAGTAAATTAAACTAGCTTATTGTCACTGTCTAACAAATGTACAGAGCAAATAAATAGCACTGGAAGCAGTTCATAGGCATACACAGGCCTTTTAGCCCAGCAACGTCTCTCTGCTCCACCCCTAGGAGTGCTTTACATCTCATCCACAGAGAGTTGAACACTACTCATTGCAATTTGCAGGCAAATGTGGCAACCTCCCTGCTCTGCCTTTTTCTTCCCATTTATTCACTACCAACATCTCAAGCACCCTCTGTTCTGGTGTTTCCAAGAGAAACCACCTGGACAAAAGTGGTTACTTTAATTCTTTGAAGTAGCTGATGATAAAAGGGAAGCACAAAGGCCAGGAACAAAGGGGCCAAGCTGCCTGAAGAAGTCCCGTGTCAACAGATGTAAACCAATCTGTACCAGAAGGTCGCTAATTTCAATGTGTGATTAGCATGCTGAGGGGATGCTCACATAGAAGAAACAAGGAGGAAATCACCAACACCATGATGGAAGTTGTGAAATACAGCTGTCTTGTTCATAAGCTTAGGCAGGAAACCTGAACTTCTTTCTCTAATGGGACTGACCATAAGACTAGAAAAACATCTTAGAAACGGGGAGACTTTCCTTCAAGGGCATTGCAACTATTATTACACAAAATAATGTAGAGAAGAGATGTATTTCCTCCTCCTTCCTGACAGAGCAATTCTCCAGAGGCCTCCAGGGCAGTTCCAGATGCTTCCCTGCCAAACATGTCAGATCGTACAAGAATCTAAAATGTATTTACAGACAAAGTCAGAATCCTTGGCAAAAGCTTCATTCCAGTGGGGCAACAGAAGAGTGGAATATTATTGATAAATAGGTGACTTACTATAGGCCATAGCAAGTGACTGTACCCATTTATCTCCATCTATCTTTGAGGAGTATCAGTGACCACTTGGTTTGCTCCTAGGACTCACTTTCACAGAAACACATCTCTGTGTTCAGTTTTGTCAAATGAGGTATTTGATAATAATAAGAAATATGCAGCAGTCTAACTCAATAACCCAAAAATCCTACCTTTAACATGCACAATGCCAGAGATGCTACAGACAGGTCACTTGACTTGAGAAAAGAAACCTACTTTGTTACTATGCTCCTTGGCAGATAAAATTAATTTTGTGAGCAGAACTCTGAAAAATGCATCCTTAGGACAACACCTTTCCAGAAAGGCGTGACATGCATCATGAGACTGAATGACTTCATGGGAATGTGAATTCCACCATTTACCACATATATGTACAGAAAGGAGGAAGGACAAGGTTCACCTATAAGTTTCAACAGCCATTCTCAGGTCCTGGCTGTGGGAATCAAGAGTTGTGTAGCCACAGTGTATTGGGTTCTGCCATAGTTTAACATGGGTGGAATTTAGGGAAATTCTTAGCGAACTTAATGAAAACAGGCAGTTGAAATTGATCCTGGCTACAAAAAAGAGATTTGTATGCATTTGTAAGAGTGATGTGAATAGCTCTCCTATAGGAACTGATCTAGGATGCTCCTTGTGGTGTAGGAGCTGGTCTGAAAGCCAACTGAGCCACTTCATAAATGACATTATTTTTTACTGCTATTACAGTTTGCCCTTAAAAAGATCCTCTCACTGTTGGAACATCTACCACTGCAACTGAGAAGCAACTGAAATTTACTCCTTGAGGATAAAAGAAGGGTGGTTGGAAGAGACACACAATAAATGGTAAAAAAGAGCAAATACAGATTTTGAGGATGATTTTTCTAGGCCACTTTCCTTGACTTCAACACTGTAAACCATATTTATCCATGTCCAGGCAAACAAATAATTTGTGTAAGTGTCAGAACCACTACTACACAAGTCACATCAGTATAAAGAGCAGTTTTAACAAATTCCAGGGATTGGTCTGTAGCAAAACCTGCTGTCCAAGACCGATCCTTTCCCTCTTTGCACGAAACCAGGTCCAGATCCAAGTTTTGTGGTTGACCCCTACTTCATGCTGTTCTAAGCTGAAAGTCCAAAGGTGATGTTGCTCACAAAACACAAACTTGCCAATGCAGGTTTGATTCTAAGTAAATGCCACATTCTGACAAAGACTCCTAGAGCCCTGGACAAGCCAGAAAGTGTGTCAGCTCCTCACAAGGCCCAGCTGCACACACGCACACTCACCTACTTGTCACTGCACAGAATGCCCAGCTCAGGAAAAAGACTCCTGTCTAGGGCTCTCCTCAGGCCTGCCACTCTTTTAAACTCGAGACAGTGGGAAACTTTCTGTGAAATTCAAGTGGTCTTTGTTAAGTACTCCCTTTTTTTTTGTCCAGTAAACATGATGTAGAGATCCCAATGGACTTATTCTGAGAAACTCCTGTAAAATGGTTTTGTCCCCTTTCTGTGAAGCAAGTTCTGATTGGAGGGGTATTCACAAACCATATAGGAAAGAATGGGTGTGAAAATGCAAAGGCCATTCTTACCCAGATGGGGAATGAATAGGCATTTGCCAGTTTAAAAAAAAAAAAAAGGCAGAAAAAAAAAGAAAGGAAAAAAGCCCAGACAACTGCACAGATTATGCACATTTGAAATCCTCCTGGGATACAATTTGAAGCTGGCATGGTATAAAGGTGAAACATATTACTGTGCAACTTTGAAAAAAGCTTCATTTGCCCGTATGCAAATGTACCGATTAAACTGTCAGCCTATTCACAGAAACATGCATGGAATTCATCCTCAACTAGTAAGAAGGAGCACAACGTGGATGGGAAAGGAAAAAACTTTTGTTGTGTAATACATGACTGAATGCTTAGATTAGTGTTTCCCTGAATCTCATCCACCCCTCCTGCTGACTTTTATGCTATGGGCATTCAAAATAAAGTAGGTTTTACCATGACAATAACAATGACAAGCTCTCCAAGTACAGTACCAAAGGGGAAGGCAATGGCAGAAGGAAACAGCAGGCAGTGGACTCCTGGAAGATGCTATAGAAAACTGGAAGTGCAGCAGTGAGGTACATCAAGCATGGCTTGAGGCAGTTTTCTATTTGCCAGCATAACCATACACAGACCTACATGAAGCTAGAAAGTAATGGCTCGAAATGGTGATTTTTTTTTTTTTGTTTGTCAAAACCATAAAAAATTACCTCCAGAAAACACATGATGCAATAGAATCAAAAAGAAGAAGGGGATATTGAACACTGCAGGCCATACACAAATGGCTACGTTATACATTTGAAAATGCTTTTTGCAAGGTTTTTTTCTGTACAGCCACTAGATGTCCCTTTCTGCAAAGCCAATTGCTGAAAGTCCTAATGCTCATAACTGAAGAATATCAGAGAATTTGATTTTCTCTAGTGTCTTTTAAAATCACGGTATCTCAAAGCTCATTGCACAGTAATGACTACCATTCTAGACACACAGTGGTGATGAACCCATCACAGTTACTGCAACTCAGCAGTAGCTCAGCACCTCAGCACAGCATTCACCTGAAGCAAAACTGCCTAGCATGCTGGAATCCAAGCTTTTTTGGAAACTTACTGTGTGCTCATTCACAGGAATGACTATCAGAGTGAAACCCAAAGGCTGTATCTTGCTTTCATACTTATGGGGAATTGAGAATAATTGTTCTATATCCTTGAGAACTGGTGGGCTTGCTGACACAGATACAGATTTAGTTTTTGCTTCAATCTTGCACAGAAGAATTTAGAGAA